AACAAAGTCAGATCTTGACAGGTAGGTCAATCAACTGTGTGATGCAGCAGCAAAAAATAGCTAATGCTACTCTCGGCTGCACCAACAGAAATAGAATGTCCCGATCAAGGGAAGTCATAAAATAGGTAAAGGACCCCTGACAGTTAAGTCCAGTTGCGAACGACTTGGGTTGCAGAGCCCATCTTGCTTTACTGGCCGAGGGAGCTGGCATTTGTCCGCTTCTACAGACAGTTTTTCTGGGTTATGTGGCCAAAGCAAATGTCAGAGGCAAAGGGAGTATCTCTCTGTGTGTGTGTTCATTAGACAGTGCATTTATTTTCCCAACCTGGTTGCTGAGAATAGAGGTATATTGCCATTCTAGAAAAAGTGGCTTCATTTTATCCGAGATCCTGCTGCATCCACTTAGTGCTGTGTCAAACAGCTCAGCCGTGCATAATGAGCCTGCAACATGAAATTTACAGCATGCGGTGCATTAAAAGAAAATGTTATGAAAATGATGTAGAAAGGTAAAGATAAAGGACCCCTGACAGTTAAGTCCGGTCGCAGACGACTCTGGGCTTGTGGCGCTCATCTCGCTTTACAGGCTGAGGGAGCTGATGTTTGTCTGCAGACAGTTTTTCCAGGTTATGTGGCCAGCATGACTAAGCCGCTTCTGGTGAAACCAGAGCAGCGCACGGAAACGCCATTTACCTTGCCGCCAGAGTGGCACCTATTTATCTACTTGCACTTTGACGTGCTTTCGAACTGCTAGGTTGGCAGGAGCTGGGACCGAACAACGGGAGCTCACCCCTTTGCAGGGATTTGAACCAATGGCAGATTCATACTGGGCCATCCACAGATCATTTCGCTGTATTAGTTGTTCTCCAAAGCTTCCCCCATTTTATAATGTTGTCGCTGCCTAGAAAACGCAAACGTGGGTCCAAAAAATGAAAACCAAAATGTCTGTGGTCTGGGAAGTTCCAGGATTCCATCAGGAAGTGATGGGAAAGACACCAGTTGGAAACAGAGTACAGTCAACAACCATTTTGTGCGGTGGTTCTGTCCTGACGGGAGGCAGGCAGGATTAGGGTGAGCGACACTCCAACCCGGTCCAAACCTTTCATCGACTGGTGCAAAGGTGGCCTAGATTTCTCTGTCTCCCTCTCTGGTATGGTTGTTGCTTCCAGGGCCTGTTTTTTGGAGTTGTCTTTAGCTCCTGTGATTTCTGCTGTGTTTTACATTGGTCGGTTTTAGCCTGTGTTGGATTCTTGAGGTTTATTGTCACTTTTTATTTTATCTTGCTTAGAGCGCCGTCTAATTGGTCACATTTCTCACTGACGTGCGTGATGCCCAGAGAGCTTGTTCACGAGGCATCGGAGAAGCCTAAGTAATACATGCCATAAATAAGTAAATATCCCACATTTCGCCCTGTGCTCTAAAGGGATTCTAGCATTTGATTAACATACGGCGTCTGGGGGAAATTGGGCTCCCGGCGAGCGACTTAATCAATTGCAGAAATCCCTGCAAAAGGGCATGCCCATTTATTGCCTTAAGTGAAACTCCTGATGCAAAGAGGCTGGGTATATGTGTACATATATAATTATTGAAACATGTGCCCCACCACTGTATGTTGGAAGGATTAAGTCTCCAGGCACACGAGGGAAGCAGCGAAAGGCAAATGAAATTCTAGTGGGTTTAATTCTTCCTCGGCTCAGTTCTAAAGCAGGCTGGGGGAGAGAGGGTGTGCTGTCTCCTCTCACCCGCCGGTGTGTAAACAAGAGAGAGGCTTGTAATACTCCTTTAAGCAAGCTGGCATGACCAGAAACCAAGCTGAACCCAAACCTTTGCAATCACACACACACACACACACACACACTTAATTCCCCTGCCCAAAATGTCAGCAAATGGGCTCAGTCAGCACTAAATTAACTCGCAGTAACTGAAACCTCAGTGCCTAGGACTCAGTGGGTAAAACCTCAGTGCCTAGGACTTGCTGATCGTAAGGTCGGCGCTTCGAATCCCCGTGGCGGGGTGAGCTCCCGTTGTTTGGTCCCAGCTCCTGCCCACCTAGCAGTTTGAAAGCACCCCTAAGTGCAAGTAGATAAATAGGGACCGCTTACTAGTGGGAAGGTAAATGGCGTTTCTGTCTGCTGTGCTGGTGCTGGCTCGCCAGTTGCAGCTTCGTCACACTGGCCACGTGACCCGGAAGTGTCTCCGGACGGCGCTGGCTCACGGCCTCTTGAGCGAGATGAGCGTGCAACCCTAGAGTCGGTCACGACTGGCCCGTACGGGCAGGGGTACCTTTACCTTTTTAACTGAAACCAGGAATGGAAAAGCAGTAGGGGGAGAGATACATGTTCAAGGATAAATGCAGGGCTGGGGAACCTATCACTTTCCAAGCACGGTTGGGCTTTTTGTCAACAGGGGGAAAGGCTGTAGCTCGGTGATAGAGCATCTGTCACCCTTGCAAGCAGAAGGTCGCAGGTTCAGTCCCCAGCATGACTGTCAAGCAGCTCTTACTATCAGAAAGTTCTTCTTGAGGTTTTGTTGGAATCTCCTGTCTTGTAACTTGAATCCATTGGTTCGGGTCCTAGCCTCCAGAGCAGGAGAAAACAAGCTTGCTCCATCTTCCATTGGACAGCCCTTGAGATACTTGAAGATGGCTCTCCCATCTCCCCTCTGTCCCCTCTTTTCCAGGCTAATCATGCCGAACTCCCTCAACCGTTTCTAGACCCTTTATCATCTTGGTTGCCCTCCTCTGTCAATATCCTTAAATTGCCGTGCCCAGAACTGGACACAGTATTCCAGGTGTGGTCTGACCAAGGCAGAATAGAGCGATACTATGACTTCCCTTAGGGACGCGGGTGGCGCTGTGGTGTAAACCATGGAGCCTAGGACTTGCCAATCAGAAGGTCGGCGGTTCGAATCCCTGCGACGGGGTGAGCTCCCGTTGCTCAGTCCCTGCTCTTGCCAACCTAGCAGTTCGAAAGCACGTCAAGGTGAAAGTAGATAAATAGGTACCACTCTGGCGGGAAGGTAAACGGTGTTTCCGTGTGCTGCTCTGGTTCGCCAGAAGTGGCTTAGTCATGCCACATGTACGCCGGCTCCCCCGGCCAGTAAAGCGAGATGAGCGCCGCAACCCCAGAGTCGTCTGTGACTGGACCTAATGGTCAGGGGTCCCTTTACCTTTACCCTTTAACTGCAAGGATGGCTGAGCTTTTATCAATAGTTTCTCAATAGTGAACGGCACTATTTAGTGGGAAGAAACTCCAATGAAAATACTTGTCATTACAAGGATTATTATTTTTTATTATTATTATTTACATGGCTGTTTATTTGTATATATTTTTTAAAAAATTATACGTGGATGTTTTTAGGATCGTCTTTATTTGTAATGCCTAATAAAGCTTCGGCAAAGTAAGCATCGTGGACATGTTGTAGAATACATGTCTCTCCACCCACCCACAAAATCCCACCAGGCAGGGAGGGGGCTGCTTCCTTCAAGACTCTTTACAGAGTTGGTCAGGCTCTAGCCACCTCTGCAAACGTTTTTGAAGAAAGCTAGAGGGATAATGAGATAATTCTTTTTTTTTAAAAAAAATAATTTTTATTACCCAACCAATCAAATCAAATCAAATCACATCACATAAATTCTGAATTACAAAGCCGAATTTTAATTTTTTGTTGGGGGGACTCATATTTCAAGTTCTGAAGGGGATTCCAATCATCTTCTTGCTGCTGTGTTAATATCCACAAATCTGTCCAAATAATGTTCATAATTCTATCCAATCTTATCTTGCTGTTTCCATACCTCATCTTGTTCGTATATTTTTCTTTTTTTCTTTATGATCTCTTCTGATAATCTCCTTAAGCAGGTAAACACCAATTATAATCCTGTGTGAATTTTTCCGTTCCTCCAATCATCATATCAAGATGGTTTCCATATATCATCACTTTCATAAGTAACAGCACTCTTTCCATCATTAATCTCACAAATCTGTTGCTCTTTAGTCCCTCTGAGGAGGCTCACCCACAATATAAAAATAGATATGTTCCTCCTCCCAGACATAAGTCTTCTGACAGAACTTGCCAAAATGGCGACGGCATTTTTTGCTGCATCATTCCAAAGCTCTTATGCTCTGCACGATCTTCTTGAAACATGCTTTGGTTAGAAAATTATCTCCACACAGTCTTAAATCCACAGTTTAAGTCATTTAAACGGCATTTCTGACTTGTGACGTGGGGGGGGGGATTCTTGGTTAATCACATAGAGAAAAGAAAGTAAAGTTTTTCCCCCTCCCCCATCCAGTCCCGTTGCCGAACATACCGAGCCTTGGTGTGTCTTCTCATGATTTATTCTTGTTCCTCCGACCCGTCTTGTTTATCAGAGATCTCTTCAGTTAGCAGTCTTTACTCCCCCCTTCTTCCTTGAAATATGTGCATTAGCTTCCTTCTAATTGTTTCTTTTGAAGTTGCTGCAGCTAGAGGCGCGAATCAGAGACAGCGTCCAGGAGCGCCGAGATCCGCACAAGGGCTTTCTGCCTAGTGCCCCCACCCCCACAAATTCGGGGGTGGTATAGGGCACAGCAGGCAAGGGCAGTCCCCCTCACACGCTTGGGGGGGCAGGGAGGCTGTTTACTCCCATCACAGCCTCTTAATTACCTCGTGTGGGTCGGAGAGATGTTATTGTCAGCCATCTTCCGATGCGCCCCTAGTGGCCCCTCGGGATAATGAGATAATTCAGTAGAAGGCACCTCCATATGCTCCTATATTCCCATGGGGCTGATTACAGAAATTCACCTTATTATCCTGGAATGCGGGAGGAGTAAGAACAACATAGAAGTAAAGGAACACGGACACACCCCAATTTTGCACAGATGTCAGGATGGAAAACAGTGTACCCTGTGGCTCAAAGAGGGTTCTCTTCCTGAACTAAATACAAGTAAATCAAAGACAGCCTTTCTGGACAGGGAAAAAGGCCAGTTTCATCAGTGTCGGAGGCCCTGGAATTTGGTGCGTACCTGACAGATGTTGTAGTGCTCAAAGAGGGACAGGACGCCGATGTCGCTGCGGGCGGAGACGCCTTTCAGGAGGGTGATGTTGCCGTTCCCAGAGTCCAGCTCCATCACATCGTTGAAAACGTTGGAGACGGCTTGGCCAGTCAGGAGCAGGTTGACTAGTTCCTGGTTACCGCAGAAGAAAAAGGGGCTCTTGGAACAGACACTGGTCTGGTAGGAAGAGCTGGTCTCATGTTCTAGGAACAAGCAAGGGGGTTGCCTCCTCCTTCTGCAACAAGCTCCCTTGCAGGACCAGAAGAGGCATGAAAAGGGCAGGGGATAGGTTGGTTGCACATGGGCACAGTCTCCAATTTCTTCAGGAAAGCCTTGGAGAGAAGGGGACTTAGACAGCTGTGGGGAGGTGGGGATTTTCAGTCCCAGCAACTGATCCCTGAGGATGAGCTGCTCTGCTCATTAGGCCTGACACTCAGCCAAGGCTCTGAAAATCCTGTTTTTGCTAATAAAGAACTAACTCCAACTTTGAACGGTGTGATTTACTGCCAGCTGGTTATTTGGCAGTGGGTGCCATGGGCAGCCCTCCCCCTAGAGTTCCATCTCTATGCCCTCTCCCAAATCAGCCCCTCCTCCTGCAGACAAAGAGAAACTTTTCCAAGGGATCTGGAGGAAAGTTGGGTCCAGCAGAATTAGTCCTAGAACAGGGGTTGGCAAAGTTTTTGTGGCTTGGGCCGGTTCACAGTCCCGCAGATGCCGCGGTGGGCTGGAGTGTGTGTGTTTGTGTGCACGCATGCACAAACGCTATTTCCGGTGCTCCTTCTGGCGCGGAGGAGGCGTGCACAGCTTCCCATTGGCTGCAAGAGCTTCCTGCAGCCAATGGGAAGCTGGCTAGCCTCGCGGAAGGTGGTCTCCACTCTGCTCCGTACCAGTTTAGCATGGCGCACGGGAACCAACCGAGTGGGTGACGGGGGTCCCTGAGTGGGCAGCGGGGGTCCATGGGCTGGTTAAATGACCCCCATGGACCGCTTGTGACCCATGGGCCTTACGTTGCCGACCCCTGTTCTAGGATTAATTCTGCTGGACCCAACTTTCCTCCAGATCCCTTGGAAAAGTTTCTCTCTGTCTGCAAGGGCAGGGGCTGATCTGGGAGAGGGCAGAGAGATGGAACTATGGGGGGAGCGCTGCCCAAGTTCAAATTTGGAGTTTGTTCTTTATTAGCAAAAACAGGATTTTCAGAGACTTGGCTGAGTGTCAGGCCTAATGAGCACAGCAGCTCATCCTCAGGGATCAGTTGCTGGGACTGAAAATCCCCACCTCCCCACAGCTGTCTAAGTCCCCTTCTCTCCAAGGCTTTCCCCAAGAAATCGGAGACTGTGCTTGCATGCAACCAACCTCTCCTCTGCCCTTTTCATGCCTCTCCTGGTCCTGCAAGGGAACTTTTCACAGTAGGTGGCAGAGACACCTATGAGTCTTCACCAGCCTGACTCATCTCTGCCTCTTGGCCTCCTTCTCTCCTGCTTCAGCTTCTGCCTCAGATTCTAGACTTCTCTCTGCCACAGATTCTCCCTGCTCACTAAGCCCTGGCACCCCTTCTTCAGCTTCTGACACCTCTTTCTCCTCCTAGTCTTCTCCCTCTGATCTCTCATCGTCGTCCCACCACCAACCCCCCGGCTCTGAGCTTTTTCCCTTTGGGGTCCTCCCAGCTGGTTCCTCCCACCATTCCTCTGCGTCCAACCAAACCATGATACCTGCTCACAAAATTCACCCCCTGATAAATATAGTTCGGCCCCGTCTCAGAAGCCTTTGCCATATTTACCTGCGTACAGTACCCGTGTGCGCCAATCAGCCGGTTTGTGATCACGTCAAAATCTCCACGTACTCTAGGGTGGGGGGATAGAAATGAAGGCAGCGAAGTTAGATCGACTGAAGTCCCCCCCCAAAACCTTCAAGGGCACATCAAAAACACATCATAAAAATGGGTCTAGTCCAGGGGTCAGCAAGGTCTACCTCGCTTGGGCCGGTTCACTCCAGCAAAGATCTCACCGTGGGCCGGATCGCGCTCATGCGTGAGTGTACATAGCCACGATTTCCTGTGTCTACGCAGATGCGATTTCTGGCATCTGAGCATGCGCAGACGTGATTTTTGGCACCACGGAAGTGAGTCCCCACGCCGGTTTAGCACAGCGTGCGGCGACTCGTCGAGAGGGTGGCTCGATTTGGGGGCAGCTCATGGGCCGGTTAAAGACCCCTGTGGGATGCTTGTGGCCTATGGGCCTTACTGTATTTTTTGCTCCGTAAGATGCACCTGACCATAAGACGCACCTAGTTTTTAGAGGTGGGATGCAAGAAAAAAAATATTCTTTAAAGGGAGTGCTGAGCAGAGCCTGTATGCACCCCAGGCTCTGCTCAGCGCTCACTTTCACGAGCTGCATGGAGAGTGTTTGCGGCTCTTGGGGGCTTTTCCCTGTGGAGGGAGAAGGGACTGGTGGGCTGCCCTTCTCCCTCCTTGGGGAAAAGCCCCCAAGAGCCGCACACATGCTCCACGTGGCTCTTTAAAGGGAGCGCTGAGCAGAGCCTCCTGCCTGCATTCGCTCCATAAGACGCACACACATTGCCCCTTACTTCTTAGGAGGGAAAAAGTGTGTCTTATGGAGCAAAAAATGCGGTAGGATGCCTACCTGGCTTGTCCAATATTTTGAAGATTGGGCCAGGTTCCGTGACATTCTATGAGATGGCTCTCAAATTCTGCCATGGGTGTGCAAAGTCCTATTATAAGTGTGCACCGTTCAACCCAAGTGCATTTTGCATTGCTGCTGCACACTTTAAACCAGCCTTAGCCAATTTCTTGCCCTCCAGATGTGTGGATTTCAACTCTCTTCAGCCCCAACCAGCACAGAATCCAAAGCATCTGCAGAGCACTAGGCTGGTGAAGACTGCCTTAAACCCTTTTGATATATATATGCAATTATTAAGTCAAGACTCTGGAGGAATCTGGGTGATTTAAGAAGGGCTGAACCTGAAATTCCTCCCCCAAAGTCAAGTGATAGAATCCATAGGCCTCCTCTATCTCTCTAAATAAAAGACTTCATTCAAAGAACAAGGCCACAATATCTTTTCACTGTCAACATGAGTATCCGTAGAAAGTATTGAGGAAGTTACTATGAGTACTAAAAGAATCAAAACAGAGCCTTTATCATGGGAAGGGCATTCAAAGAGCATGTTTACATTTTTAAAAGATGATAACTTATAAAATAAAACAATATTATTATTATTTTAGTTACATTAATGACCGGAACAGTTTTCAGAGCTGAACTGACAAAGCAGAACATCAAATAATGAGCAGTCAAAGAGAAAATATCACTGCACACTTTCATGGGGCTTCAGAAAGAACCACCTTTGGCTACTGCCCACGGTTTTTCGCTGAGGGAACAATCGCACGCTGGAAACCCCAAACCTTTGCTAGAAACAACTGACCGGTGCAACCTGCGTCAATTAGGGGCCGTGGGATGTTGAGTCTGGACAATAGGAGGAAGTTTCTAATTCCATCTTTGGGTGCAAACGGTCTGGGAATCTTGAGTTGTACCTAAGACGCCCACAGAGGAGTGACATCTGCGCTTCCCATCATTTCTGAGAGTGAGGAAGCCATCAAGGACATGGGATGGAGACGGACGGCTAAGCTTGGGTTGTATTGAAATCCCCTGAGTAGTCTCCATTAGGTACACGTAACTTGGTGAGGAGACAACCAGGCAACCTATCAAGACAGGCCAAGCATGAACAACACGGGAGTTGGGTCCATCGCTTTGCCCTCCTGCTGCCCCGAATCCGGGCAAAATACAGTGGTACCTCAGGTTACAGACGCTTCAGGTTACAGACGCTTCAGGTTACAGACTCCGCTAACCCAGACATAGTACCTCAGGTTAAGAACTTTGCTTCAGGATGAGAACAGAAACCGTGCGTCAGCAGCAGGAGGCCCGATTAGCTAAAGTGGTACCTCAGGTTAAGAACAGTTTCAGGTTAAGAACGGACCTCCGGAACGAATTAAGTTCTTAACCCGAGGTACCACTGCAATTAATCTGAGCAGATGGAGGTGAAAGAGAAAGAGGGAAAGAGTCTCACACTTCCATCTTCCTCCTTTGGTTCGGCGCACTTTTCACGAGACAAAATAATGACCCCCCTCAACACCTCACAAGCAAGGGTGTAGTAAGTAGATGGGCCAGTGCTGGATTTGTGTATAAGTTACACAAGCTATAGCTTAGGGCCCCGCTCTCTTGGGGGCCCCCCAAAAAAGGAGAAAAAAAACTGGATGTACATTTCCAAAATATAAGATAAAAAACAAATAAAATAAAACCTACATACAGCAACAGTGTTTTGTGTTGTGTCGGCTCCTATGATGTAAGTAATGAGTCCCGCCCATTAGTGGACTACTATGGTGATATTGATATTATATAAAAAATGCATTGTATTAACTACAATGATAACACTTAATTTCATCTTAATAAAGCTATTTACAATTATTAGTACAGTGGTACCTCGGGTTACATACGCTTCAGGTTAGACTCCACTAACCCAGAAATAGTACCTCGGGTTAAGAACTTTGCTTCAGGATGAGAACAGAAATCGTGCTCCAGCAGCACGGTGGCAGCAGGAGGCCCCACTAGCTAAAGTGGTGCTTCAGGTTAAGAGCAGTTTCAGGTTAAGAACGGACCTCCGGAACGAATTAAGTACTTAACCCGAGGTAGCACTGTAGTTTGCATCATATATTTACACCTATTATTATTTCATGTTATAGCAAGTTTTTAGAGACTAGATTATGAGTCTTTGTAAACTGTGTTTCTAAAGGAACTTTTGTTATTGCCAAATGCCAATGTGTTTGCATTATTAAGTTTCTTATGAATAAAAAAAAATCATTTTAAGTTAGAGCTTAATAATTATTTCACTATTAATATACTTCTTCTTAATTGTATTTTACTAGTACTATACTTCTTCCTTATTGTATTTCAGTTCTTTGATAAAATACATATTTTCTTATGTGCAAAGGGCTTTAGATACCTATTAGGTCCATAAATTACCCTATAGCATATATTCAACACAAAAAACAGTGACAATTTGTTGTTGACAAAGGACAGCAGGACATATAAAGAGCCCCAATACCTTCAGTAGCTTAGGGCAGTGTTTCCCAACCTTTTTTGGGCAAAGGCACACTTGTTTGATGAAAAAAATCTCGAGGCACACCACCATTACAGCCCCGTGACGTCAGCGCGCAGCGTCACGCCGGGAGGGACGCACGAAAGTGTAACTTTCAATTTTTTCCCCTCCCCCTTGCCGGGGAACCTCCAAGCTTTGGGGGTGGGGGGGAGGAGGCAGCAAAGCGAGGGACTGAGGGACTCCTCCAACGACAAGGGTTGGGGAAGAAGAGAAAGGGCTATTCCGCTCCAGTCACGGGAGGGGAATATGTACTGGCCCAACTGGTGTGCGGTCTTCGGAAAGCGGGGTGCGGGAAGGAAGCCTAGGCTCGGGGTCATAGAATCATAGAATCATAGAGTTGGAAGAGACCACAAGGGCCATCGAGTCCAACCCCCTGCCAAGCAGGAAACACCATCAGAGCACTCCTGACATATGGTTGTCAAGCCTCTGCTTAAAGACCTCCAAAGAAGGAGACTCCACCACACTCCTTGGCAGCAAATTCCACTGTCGAACAGCTCTTACTGTCAGGAAGTTCTTCCTAATGTTTAGGTGGAATCTTCTTTCTTGTAGTTTGGATCCATTGCTCCGTGTCCGCTTCTCTGGAGCAGCAGAAAACAACCTTTCTCCCTCCTCTATGTGACATCCTTTTATATATTTGAACATGGCTATCATATCACCCCTTAACCTCCTCTTCTCCAGGCTAAACATGCCCAGCTCCCTTAGCCGTTCCTCATAAGGCATCGTTTCCAGGCCTTTGACCATTTTGGTTGCCCTCCTCTGGACACGTTCCAGTTTGTCAGTGTCCTTCTTGAACTGTGGTGCCCAGAACTGGACACAGTACTCCAGGTGAGGTCTGACCAGAGCAGAATACAGTGGCACTATTACTTCCCTTGATCTAGATGCTATTCTCCTATTGATGCAGCCCAGAATTGCATTGGCTTTTTTAGCTGCCGCGTCACACTGTTGGCTCGTGTCCACCGGGCGCAAGGTCCACCGACCTCGGCGGAGAAAGGCAACAACCGGAGCCGATGACCAGTGGCGTAGCGTGGGTTGTCAGCACCCGGGGCAAGGCAAGTAATTTGCGCCCCCTAACCCCTTACCATGGTCATTAATACTGACGGCTCTACTCTGGGGCAAACTTCGTGGTGACTACTGCCCTCCGTGGTGTTGTTTTTGCAATTAAAGGACCCCTGCCTCAAATAAAGCATCTTGGGGATTGGGGACTGGGATTTGCCAAGGGAGCTGGGAATTGCAGTTCAGTGGCGGGTCAGGGGGAGAGGGTCCCTTCCGCGCCTGGGTGCCGCGGGCCCCTTTGCGCCAAGACGCGCGTCTTTGGGCGTCGCGGCGCAGCCTTCTCGGTCTCCCTCCCCGGCCCGGCTAGCCCCGACGCGGCTTCTTTCTGGTACGGGGAGGGGGCTTCTTTCTGGCGCTGGGGCCAGTGCGTTGGCCGGCCTCCGGCGCGGGTGGGCGGACCCTGTCGGGGCGGGTGGGCGGTCTTGGCGCGCAGGCACTAGAGCGCAGGTGGCTCCGGCTGGGCGCTTCATTCGCCGCCGGTGGCACGTTTGGCGGGCTGCGCGCGTCCACACAGCGACCCGAGCCTGGGCGGCGTGGCGCTTGGTGCCGGAGCCTCCGCCCGCAGCGCCCCGTCGGGAGACCCGGCCGGAAGGAGCCTCGAGCCGGCTGTCGGACGCGGCTG